ATATAGAAGCGCTGCCACAGACATTTACTCGAAATCCGCTTCTCCACCTGAGTTCAGCTCATGTTAAGCTTAGTTTTAAGCTAATCGAAATATTGCAATTGTTTTTATTTGTAATCAAATCTGGCATCAACAAAATGCATAATTGATTTTAAGCAAAAAACCTTAACTTGTTTCGGCGCTTAAAATATTTTGATTGTTATGCTGCGCACACGTTTGACCTTTATAGCCTTTAAATTGTAAGCTTTTGGCCATTATAAAAAAGTTTTAATAATAAATGTAATGCTTTTTTCATTGGTATGCGCATTTGCCAAATCGCATAAATGTTAATAAATGCCATAAAATTGAATTAACGCTAATTAGCAAAAAACAAAGGAGTTTAACTTTGTTGTTGTTGCTGCTGTATGTTTTTATTAAAAACCGTTCAATACATGTGCATCCATAATGATTTAATCATTCGCGGTTAATCATAATATGTTAATTTTTTTAGTTTTAATATTTATGAAGTGCATTTATTTTGCAACTTCGTGTTTGACATAGCATTTAATTAATTAATTTTGTATATGACTCAAACAGATTTTTATTATTATTTTTTTGTTGACTTAAGCGGTGTTTAGCCCGCGGAGTCTCGCTCGCCTTCAATTGATTTCGATTGATGTGTCACTGCTGTTGACCCCTTTTTATGGCAAATAACTATTTACACTGTCCATCAAAGTTGTCAATACTCAAATACATAAGTGTTTAATAATTGAAATTAATTGCACAGAATATTATTTAATTAATGGAATAATATATTTATACTGATTTTTGTTTATATTTATATGTATATAAACTGATTTACTTTGTAATAAAATGTTTCCTTATTTAGGGATGTTTTAATGTCAGTTTCGATCAACTGGAGCTGCTCCTCCCCGATATACTTAGTTTGGCATAGTTTTCATAATTTGTTTAGTAAGTTTATTAGATATAAATTTTAATTGTATATTATTTTTTATTTATTTGTTATACATAAAATATACAGATATATAAAATATACAGATATATTTAAAAATTTATTATTTATTTCTTTATTAATTTATTTATTTTTTTTTTTGCTTTTCGTTTTTGAGCATTTGCAAACACGTTTTTCGCATACATATCTTATAAGATAGAGCATTAACTAAATAAAATATATTGAAGAATAAATAATATGTGATTATAACTTACCAATTAATATTGTGAGCATAAAAGCTAGTTGGTAGAAAACGTGTAGAAACCGCATGTTGATATTTCTCGATTTTAAGTCTGTAAGAGAGTAAAGAGGAAGAAATAAATATATGCATTTTTCAAAATTACTTAATAAAAATTTTAATTTATATAACAAATATTTAATATAAGCTTACACTAAACTGTAAGATATTAGCTATACGAAAGAATGAATTAGTTCAGTAATATACTGCTTTACACTCCAAATCTCGCCAAGTTTTTGCTCATCTACCCTTAAACTGTGGTTACTCCACCTAATATGATAATTTATGATATTACCGGCTATTGCAACAAGCAACTCTGATATGCCCAGGTAGTTGGAAATGCTCTTCGCCTAGACCTAACTGTTAAACTTTGCACAAAGAACAATAAAAACAACAACAACAACAACAGCAACAACAACAACAATAGCAAGAAATGAGTTGCTTAATGCGTTAAACTTTTGCTGCAACACGTAACTCAAGTTAGGCTGCAGTTGCTGTTGCCAAAATGGGACGTTATACATAGACGTATATATAGACGTATATATATGTATACATATATGCATAAATATATTTATATGTATTTGGCCAGCTGAGCAACAGCACCTGGACAGGTGCGCCAAAAGCGAGTTTGTTGTTCTTCCACAAAATATTGAAAGCAATTTTGTAATCAAAAAGAGAGAAAATAAAAAAAGCGAACGAACCGGTAGAAGAAGAAAGCTTTATAAAGTAATAACTATAAAGAAAACTGCAGCGATTTAGCAAGCACCCAAAAACACACACACACACACACACACATACATGCGAAACTCTTGCTCACAAGCATACACACACACACACACTCGAGTCAAAAAGTTTACCATTTTAGAGTGGAAACAGGGCTGAGGTTTTACTAAACGAACCACAAAATGGCTGGTTAAAAAAACCTCCAAGTGGAAGGGCTTTGAGTTGGAGTTAGTGAATAGTTGATAGATACCCTGTGAATGGCAATAGACTTCTTTATTATTTGTAATCTTCTAAACTCTTTCTTCCTCTTCCTCGCTCTCACTACCTTTCGCACTCTACTTCTCTCTCTTTCGCTTTCTGTCTCTCTCTCTCTCTTTCTCTCTTTATCTCGTTATCTTTCTTAATCTATATCTAGCTTTCAATTGTCTCTTTCAGTTCTTCTCTCTGAGAGTTTTTCGTTCAGTATTATTGCTTTTCCGTATGATCTTTAAAATCTAATATTGATAGTCCCATATTTCTGCTCAAGCACAATATACCCCACGGTTAACACCTATAATGTGTATGCAAAAAAAGATATTGCACTCAGTGCGTTCATATGGGAAATATTCCACATTTAAAGTTGAAAATCGGATTATAATAATCCCCTTAGCGAAGGCGCACTGAGGCAGCAGCGTCCTCACTATCTCTCACTATCTCTCCCACATACACGCTTCCCTCCTCTTCTCGCCTTTCCCTTTGCCCACCCGAACTACACGCCACACGACATGTAATCTTTTGTGGCAGCAAATTGTTTTAGCGCATGGCCCATATTAAGGAAGATTTCCAGTATTTTTTTGGCCCATTAAGCTTGGCCGTAGACGCTTTTAATTGCTTGGGCTTCATTAACAGCGAAGGGCAGAAGAAGAAACAACTTTTTAATTTATGCATTGACAAACTTTCGGCGCCCGAACTAAAAAGCAGAGAAAAGGAAAAGAGGGAAACACATTCTAAGTGGTCAATGGGTTAAGACAAACAAAAACAACAACAACTGCAGCAACCAGAATCGGGTCTGGGTCTCTGGGCAGTGCGAGATAAGCCGCAAAACTGCAATCCAGACACAAGAATTCCGCGCCGGGCGTTAAGGGGGCTTAAGTGTGTTAAGAGGGTTAAGGGGGTTAAGTCCTGGTCGCAAAAGGCGGACCGAAATTGCATGCAAGGCAAAAGCGCAGCATCCTTTTAATTGGTTTTCGGTCAAACAGTGCAAAGAAAAAGGAAAACGACGAAGAAACGAAGAGAAAACAACTGCAGATTTTTCTTTAAAGCATTTCTTCCACTTGACTTTCGGGCAGCCACTTTATGCCCTTTAGCAACTGGCACTGAGCCCTGATCTCTTTAAGCTGCGCCAGTGTTGAGTAACATGCTTAGCTAAGATGTGGAATTTCAATATACATACATATATATCTGTATATCTGTATTTATGTATCTATATATCTATATATCTATATATCTATATATCTATGTATCTATGTATATATGTATCTATGTATCTATGTATCTATGTATCTATGTATCTATGTATCTATGTATCTAT